CACCTGGTTTCAAATCCACCTCATATTCACCTTACCATTACCCCAAGTGGAAGCCAGTGGACGTTTCGCAAGGGTTGGCAAGAGGATATGAGCATTAGTGTCGACTGTGGAGAACATCTATATGATTACATGGAGCATATGAAATGTGCATTAGAGATGATTTGACTCTATATCGTATTGCGGTTCAGGATCTATGTAGCCGTGGCACTGTTCGTTCAGGTCCTATCTCCTAAATGAGCTGTGCATTCCTTCACTCCGGACATGTGCTCATATCATGCAGTAGCATCAAATGTTCGACTGAGACTTCAAAATTTATTTTCTACCGTTGACCATCGCCGATTACCTTGGTATATGATAGCCATTGATAGGTTTGAAAATTGGTTGATAAATCGCCGAAATGTGACATTCTGAAAAACAGACCCGTATACCTTTTATTGTGTGAACAGAATGTGAGAAGGTTCATTACGTGTTTTTCCTCTCCACCGTCCGAAGTTTCATTCTGAATTTTTTGTCAAGGTGTGTTATCCTCTTTTATTCGCACCCGAGTTATGAAAATCGCATATCAGGGATCTTATTTGAATTATGAAATAATTAACATCATAATCGAAAATTTCGGCGAGAAGTGTCTTGCCTCTGCAAATGAAATGATATGCTCAATTTACAAGGTTGGGTACATTCTCATCGTAGGAGTGGTTAATTTCCAACATATATAGAATGGCATTTAGGATCAAAATCATTATCATTATGTTGCAATGCGAATTTATTTGCTTCAAATCAAATTATGGATTGATTTGATATACCCGCGCATGATGCAAGTCAGATCTCAGAGTGTGATTTATTCATTTAAAGCAGCTTTAAGTGAAATCTTTATTCATTTTGCTCACTTGTACTTAGCAGTAAGATTTTGATTATGTCTATGATATCTTCTTTTATTTTTATGTTTTTAAAATTATATTCAGGCGTAGTTCATGGAGTTTCCTCATCATTTGCGCAAGTTTTATTTTATTCAGTGTTTCTCTCTCTCCCTGTCTATAAAAGAAATACATTGAAACAGATTCAGCAGTGAGGCTGTGAAATTTAGTAATGAAAACATGAAGGTGGGCTCTAGCGGAAGGACCAATCCTTCATTTCTACCATCTTCCTTTTAAAGTGTGTATCTCGTTCGACTCAACCACGGATGGAAGAAATCTCGAAAAATGTGGTGAGGACTCGATCACCCCGTTTGCACCGTCGATGCAATCTTCCCGCCTGAAGCTTACACTCCAGTACAGGGCATGGCAAATAAATGACCATCGACTTTTAAACTATCTTCTTCTGGTCCCACTGCAGTTATTTTCACGAAACTTCCACTGCGCATAGATGGATGTTTCATAGATATCTCCAAAATTCCATATTGATTCGATGTCCCGAGGCAAGGGTATGAGTTCAAAAGAAGTTTGATATTGAAAACGGACTAGAGTTCTTGCTGGTAGTGGAGTGGAGGAAATGCCTTCTCGATGTGGTTGCATGTCATCCAGACCCAATCGAACTTCTCTTGAAATTCATTCTTTGGGCTGACCTTTTCATGCATATGATTTTGGTAAGTTTTTTTTTTCTAGTGAATGACGAATGAATTAATATGTATCGATATAGAGGGTTTGCTTAAATTTTTTTTACTTTTATAGAGTTACCCTTGGTTTATCCCAGAGAACGAGACAGGAAGAGCCTTGTCACTCAGATGGGACTGGAAGTCTCTTGTCCAATTTCCGTTTTCTTTGGAATAATTCCTTCTAGCTTTGCTTTCGCGCAACTAATTTTTTTTTAAATCTCAAATGTCTTTGGGAAAATATGTTTCACGTTTCACGAAAAAGGCTGTAATATGAGTAATTATGTTGGTTAAAAGTCGTTGATCTTTTTTTGCGATACACTGTGCGATATAGGTCATGAGCTGAATGAAGGGAATGCACAATGATCGGGATTCTGGAACAAAGGAGGAATGAACCATGGGCATGGTATATAGGCGTGGTCCCTCACTGGAAGTTATTCCTGGAATGTGCCCGTGTTTCATTCGTCCATGACGCTTTCGATTCACTCATTCCCCCCTCCCCCTCGTCTTCTTATTTTCTCATCTTAGTCCTATTTCCCTTTTTTTTCTCATTGGTAGCGTCTGATCTGGGAGAGGAGACAGGTGCCAAGGGAACCTCGACCTACCTCTATCTTCTATACTGAGCATCCTTCTAGTGAGTGTCACAATTTCCTTAGCGTTTCTTTCCTTTTAAATACCTTGTACGAGTCTTTCGCTTAACTTATACTTGAGCAGGATTTTTTTTTTCAAGTGTATTTTTGACATTCGACGGTGTCTTCCGGCGGAAAAGTTCTCCGTCATTTGATTCACTTAGTCCAAAAATGTCCTTCATCCTCTCAAGATTGTATTGATGCTTCTGGCCGACAGAGCACGAGAGGTGTTGCACGTGCGGAGTGGTAAGCATGGGGACCTCTGGAGGAGGGTGGCTTGGTGAACCCTCAATACCCTCGCCATCAGACGAACCTCTCAGTGAACACCCTCGTTTTCCATGCACTCATCAGTGAGTCACCCACTCTATTGGGTCTATACACCTCCGAGTTTTATTAGTACATTCATGTTGTACCTGATCATACACGTGGTGTTCTTAAAGAAACGCAAGTGAATAGTTTTTTTTTTAACGTTTGTAAGTTATTTGTTGATCATCATTCACTTCATCTGAAAGGAAATGTTGAAAATGTACTCCTTTCATTCGTTGGCACAGTTTCGCGTGATTGTGCATTGATGGGAACATACCGGGCAACATTTCTAGCAACACCTAGGAACAGAATTCACATGCGTTACTTCATGAACAACCTGCATTGATAAGGAAATATTAGATAATTGTAGAAGATGCTTCCCTGTTTTCTTTGGGAAATATTTGTCGCAATTAATTAAAGTCTTCATTTTTCAGTTGCAGTGATCCTATTCCAAAGCAGTCTCGCAATGAAAAGATTACAAATAACGGAATAAGAAGCATTTATCAAAATGGAAAATATATTGAAGTAGCTATACAAACCTAAAAGGAGATGTTGAAGGAAGACACTTGACAAATGATTGGATATTCTCTTGGATCACTGCAACTTCTTAAGTTTTTTCCACCTAAAATCTCAGCTGAAGAAGGCTTGGGGTAGTTGGTACATACAATCCCTTTCTCCATGTTCTGCTTCAAAACTTGCGGATTTTAATGTTTTGGCTGGTAAACTCTTTCCTTCAAAAATCCCCATTATAAATAGTCTAAACGATAAATACCAGGGTCTGTGGAGACTATTCATGAAGACTCCAAAAAGTAATGAGTTGATTTCAGAAAACATTGGCTAAAAGTATTAATAATTTATACTTCTGTGGTAACTATTATGTGAATTTTGCGACTTCAACTTGAGACGATTAACTGCCTTTCGGTCCGGTGACACCAGCACTAGGATATATAGCTATAGAGATTCTCAGAATCATTTCCCCGCATTTTATTTCTTGCCACCGTGTGACGATATTTTCTGTTAAATCGTGAGGCGGACAGCTGCATGGTTTGGACAAGGGCTCTGAAGAAAATCTATCATGCACCTGATGGTCTTTCATATTTTATCGCTTATCTAACGTATTGTTGAAAGGACATAGGAAGTTATTTTATTCCCATAAGAAACGATGGAGCCTTTTAAAAATTACTATGTATACTAGTGACCAAATTGTAGATACTTTTGTGTTAAAAAAAAAGGCAGGTGCCTTCTTTTTTTCTGGCAGGGATCCAATCTTCAAGCATATTTTTCATTGAATGGTAATGTTGGATGCATTTTGGCACTGTAGTCTGATTAGAAAAGTTAAATAATGCAGAATATCTTCCTACACTTAGCAAAAATCTTGATATTAGTATATAGCGGGAGAGTCTTTCGACATTATTTCTGTTTCATATTGTGTGGCATTGAGTCTGTAAACTTCTCCTTCAAGAAGACACGATGGCAGTTGCAGATGGAGGTTATATTCGAATTGTTGAACCGAGTGGCTCTTGATTTATTATATAGTAAACACACAGCAACTGGTGCCTGCAAAGAACATGTTCCCAACTTTGATGGCAAACTAGTCCTCTTTTACTGGAGCATTGTACCATGTTGAACTGCTTTTATTTTAAAGGTGGTTTCAGGATAATGCATTCGGGGTATCTACACAGGGAACAACCGTGAACCCAATCCCTTTGAAAACCCTCTGTCCAGGCATGAAAAATCAAAATCTCTTATCAGAATGACTTGTCAGACGATGAACTTGAAAACAGAGTGCCACTGACTTGGCTTATCATCTGCAACTGACATCTCGAATAGTGAACTGCAAAGCTTCGAATCTCGCAATATGAAGTGGTGATTATAGCTAACGAATGTCATGGCAGATGCTATTATCTAGCATTCCTTCATTATCCACCCATCCACTATCCGTCATTCAATTGATTCCAGTGGTATGTGAAGCTGATGACCTATTCCAGTCATAATGCTGGAAGGTCCAGTCATAATGCTGCATCAAAATAGTCAATGACATCTTGAGTCTCCATTCCTGATGAATAACCACATGAAGCTTAGAGATGCAGAACTCGACATGCTTGTAAAAAGCAAGAGAAAAACACCAGGGTAATTGCAGTAGTTTTCGCTGTTTTGGCGCTGTTTGAACGCAAAGAATCTCAAACAGTGACTTTCCTTACATCAGCGTAAAATATAGGCAAATTTCTTTTCACAGTACGAGTGATGGAATACAGAGACTGATGAAAATTCAGAACCAGTGGGACTCGGTCCTGCTATTTTGACTATTTTGACATCTCTCTACTGTACTGCAGGATCATCCCTCTTGAGAGTGAACTCCCCCTCTGAAATGCAGAGTCTATGCTGCGCTGCACCTTCCAGACAGTTTAATGTAACGAGTCGTGGAGACGTAATTGACTGAGTATGCAGCTGCAGGAGAGGTTCATGTTGCCACTGTGACGATGCAGGTTGCAGCGGCGCGCGTTCCACGTGGGAAGTCCGTCGAGCGGAAGTGGAAGGAGTACGACGACGACGACCACCACCACCAGCCCGTTGGAAGCCTGTCATTTCTCTCCACCTCCACCCCCAGCCCCCAGTGGCCCAGGTCCTGGTTCTTGCCCTTGCGCCTTGCCCTGCCCCTGCTCCCCACCGGGATACGAGAACTTCTTCTGTCCCGTCTCCTGCTCTGCCACTCCTTGCTTCCACCCCTCCGGTTCGTCCTCGTTCAACCTATTCTTTCGTTTCCAGTGATGCTTTCGCCATGCTAAATGAATTCTTATTGGCACATGGATCTGTGTGAAACATGGAATTTACTCCATGCATTCTGTTCCTTTTTTATTGTGACTTTTTTCAAAGATTTTTAACGTAAAGTTTTACTTTTGCTTGTATCTCAATACAAGCAAAAGTAAAACTTTTCAAGATGATAGATGCACTTTCAAGAAAATTATTTTTTAATTCTAAATTGAGAAAACTCAGTTCATGGAAATAATAAGCATTTACTTTTTATGCCTGACAAGCTCATGGTATACAGGGTGATGCAAAAGCAGGTATACAGTTAGCTGTTTATTTATTTGCTTACAAAGTATTTATAAGCTATTCTGGGAGATGTTCAAACTGGTGGCCGTCACAGTTGACACATTTCTGGAAACGATCCTCGACACTTCTGCACACTTTCTGACAGTTCCTTATTTTCATTAATCTCATTGAATGCATCTATGTCACCGAAGAATTGTATACCTCCTTTTGCACCACCCTTTATATTGATTAAAAGAAAATTACGCAATTCAAGGCCTTAAAGCTCCTGGGATGCGTTTAATTCTTTGCACAATATGGAGATGCTAAAGACTGTTGCGATCAAGATAGACTCTTGAGAAAGCGTTTCTCAACCATGGTAATTACAGTTTGTGTGTGAGTCAAAAGTAAAGACTGTTGGTTTGCCAATTGCCATGAGTCTTGGATTGGTGGATGCAGGGAAAACGTGTCAGGTGGAAAGGAGATGTGGGGTGGGGATGGATTTGGACAGGAAGACAGAGAAAGGGAGGAAAAAGAAGGGGAAGAAGAAGTGTGGGTCTGGAGGTCCCTTGGAACTTCCTCCTGGCAGTGGCGACTATGCAGCGTCCGCTTCGGATCCAGACTCAACCGCTTCCATGGAGACATATCCGGAGGGAGGAGACGGGAACCCTCCACCGTCCCGCCCCACTGCAACAGCTTTTCGCTCCCTTTCTTTGTCCCAGGTCAGTTCCTTTCTCTGTCCTGAGTTTTGGGTCATTTTTTTTCTAGCATTCCAGAGAATATTGGCATTGGGGAATTCCCCAGCTGACGTATTTTCCTGGAATGGATTCTTTATGACAGAATGTGTAGTGCGATGGATCGAGAGGCAAAGCTTTCAGTAAACTTAAACTGGAATCGCGGGAGAGGAAATGCAAGCGATTAGAAGGCCGAAACACGCATACATTGCAGAGTGCAGTACATTCTTGTTCCTTCATTTGTGCCTAGGACTCGTCTGTGTAAGAAAACGCTCTTTCTAAACGCTTTCCTTTTCCTTTTCCTATGCTTGAGTGAGATACGTGGCATTCTTCGCAACTCGACCCTGTCAGGTCACAGGGAATCACGACGTCCGAAAAAAAAAAAAAAAAAAAAAAAAAGAAAGCAGGTCCGGGATGTGGTTGTGCTATTGGAGATTGGACTAGGGATATGCCTGTCTCTAATTGGTGGGATGAGGGGCCCCCTTTCACAAATTCCGCCTCCCCGTGAATCGCGGACGCGGACGGGAAGTGTTGGCTGATGGTTCATGCAACACGACCTGCCCACGTCCCCATCATCTCTGAGTCGATGGAAGGATTGGGGAGGGAAGGAGTTTTATAAATAGTCGGCGGTGCCGGTGGTGGTTTCACTCTGTGCGTGACGCGGAGCTGGAGGGGAAACGTGATCCTCCTGGAAACTAGGGTCTGACTCGTTACTCATACCATTTCATGTCCGTCTTCCCTCTTCGGTGTCATCTTTATCACATTGCTGCACTCCGGAAGTGGCGGGAACGGAGACTCGGGCGCAAACGATGGAAGGTCTGGAGATCTTAGTTTCTTGTCCCTCTCCCTGGTATCTGCTAAGCTGAACTAGTAAAACTACATGATCGCCATAATTTTCCTCACTCGTATGAGTAATATACTTATATTTATATACATATTTTTTCCTTTTAAACCAACTTATACAATTTCTTATTTATTCGACTTCAGCTGGGGTTTTTTCCCCATGTTTTTTAATTTGCTTGTTTTGATTTTTTCGTTCCGTTCCTTTTCGTATTTTCCACTTAGTTCAAATATCTCATGCTGGATTTTTCTTCTTTCTTCTCTACGGAGAGTTGCATAGGCGTTCGATGACCTGTAATCGGATCCGGAAGGCTCTTCATCGACACTCATTAACACAGGCTTTACTCTTGTTTTCGGATTTAATATTTATACAATTTCAAAAGGACTTTAAGGATTTTGAAATTGACCACATTCCTTGAATCTCCATTACGAGTCAAGGGACGACTACAAATTATATATATATAAAAGGATCCATTTGACAATACCTATTTTTGTCTAACACGAGTCAAGCAATAACTCTTTGGTAATCATGAAAGGGTCATTACTTCTCTCTATTTTAGTTTAGGCGACCCCTCTTCCTGCACATCGTTCTGTCAAATGCGACAGTGAGCAAACAAGCGAAACTAATGTCTAGACTCTAGATGGTTTGATGAAAGTCTTAGGAGAGAGAGTAACGATAGTCGAAAGGCTAAGTTGGAGGGATCAAGGGATAAGGTTCGCGCCGTTAAGAGAATATTGGTCAGCGAGGTGTTTCATCTGTCTCCTTCTGGTTTCCCTTTTATCTGGATTTGGCAGATAATTTTCTTTGTGAAGAATTGTCCAACGATGGATGCAGGACGGTTGAGTGATACTGAAAGTTTCCGATGGTACAAAAACGTGGTTGAGGACGACGTAAGAGGATCCTGGGGCCGTATTCTATTAGGTTCTTAAGTGCGATTTTCCTCTTAGCAAAGTGCTTAGGTGGTATTTGCCCCATTCAAATACATGGCCGAGTTTGAGCAATTTGCTTAAGCTAAGTTTAAGATTTTAATAGAATACGGCCCCTGGTCTCTTTAGCAAGGTTTTTGCCTTCTTTCTCATCCCCCTCTCTCCTTCAAATATAAAAGGAAATGGAATTCGATTTCACGCCCGGGAAGAGATGATTCGAAAGTGGCAGGAGGTCCGCGCCTGTTACGATGGAGCAGTGATAATCGGGACAAGCGGGGAAAAAAAACCCTGCCGTTGACCTGCATTCATAGAGAGAGAGAGAGAGAGATCGAGTCCGTGCCTGGAACGATTCATTCATAACAATGGGAGAAGGAATACAGAAGGACAAGGTGAATGGGCCTGAGATTAAGGAAGTATACACAAGCTGTAATCCTGCTGAGCTCTCTATCTCTAATCCCTCGTGTGGACGCTAGATTTAAAAGAAAGTCTTATATGACAGTCCCGCTGTCTCATCATCGTTGATGGACGCCCGGGGAAGAAGAGAACATTTTTAATTTCTCTAAATACTTATTTACAGTATGCAGAGTATCTGTGGGTATGAGTCAGAGAGAGAGAGAGAGAGAGAGAGAAAGAGAGAGGGAGGGGGGAAGTCCCAATGATATCCTTCCTGGAATCCCTCAAGGGGATAAGTGCCTGAGGAATAAATCCCAGCCCCATTGGCGCCAGGAAGAGAAGCACACATTCGTGGAAATATAGACAGAGAAGTTGCCAAACAAATCGGTCTTAGTTGTGTTTGTGCAAGCTGGGAGGAAATAGAAGGGTCACTCGCGTCCAAGGGTACAAGGTACAGCCGCGAAAGTGCGTCCTGTGCAACGCATGCTCCCGGGTAGGAGAACTAAACTTGATATTCCTCACCCTCTAGTCATTTCCATAGATTCGTAGAATCATTAAAGTCTTATAGATGCGCGCTGAACAGCCACTCTGAAATCATTCAACTAGGGAATGAACCGGATCGAAAGCAATTCAGCTTGATTGCTAATTACTCTTTCATCAAACTTACTTCACTTAACTATTCAGCTTATAAGAAAATGTGAGTACGGGAGGAAAAGTCGCGTCGATCGAGAATGGTATCAGTGAAAGGGGAATTTTAACTGGTGGATTGGTATGGGAAAGCTGAAGGGCAGTCTTAACCACTTACCAGTTCTTTTTTTGCAATGAATTAACCCAAAAATGTACAGTTTTATTTTTATTGTAGGTTTTGATTCTATAGACTTATATAAATGAACAAAATATTATGTGTAACATTTCATTAATTTATTCGGGCAAATCAAGAACGAAATAACGAAACACGAGTCTCATGCGGGCAAGTCAGTTTTGAGGACAACGTCACCCGCATCAGAGACGGGCAAATCACGGAAGCGGTTAACAAGCGCCAGGATGCACGACAGACGTTCACTACTTCAATTGACGTCTCACTACCTCCCCCTGACACATTTAGAGCTGAACTTTTCATACGCCTGCGTGAACTTCTTGTTTTTGTGAATTTATCTTGAACATCCCATCCTATTTCATTTTCTTGCTTGAAAGATCTGGTTTGAAATTCTTCCGTAGCTCAACTTGTGTAATATTAATCAGAATTCGCTCCTGAACTGTGACCAAATTATTGGTCATTCAGGATGCTAATTCCTAGGAGTTCCGCAAATGCGCACTCTCTCTCACATCCGTTCCTTTCATCGGGATGACTAATTTGTGCTCATTTTTTCTGCTGGAATTATTCTGTCATTTTTTTGTTTCGTGTCATTGGGCTTGGTGCCTATTTTTTTACTTCATTTGCTTTTCTCTTCCCGACGTTCCCCTTTCCCTACGAAGAAACTAGTCTGAAATTTGCTTTTTTTTTTCAGAGTACGGGAGCCATGGAAAGCGGAGAGCTGGAAGGAATCTCAGAAATCTCCGACAAGGTAAAAAAAAAAAATTTGAGTACATTCCATGTCATTCTGACTACCCGTGGCCGTGAAGGACGTGCAAAAAAAAAAAACCAACAACCAGGGGATGGGATTTTATTTCTCCATTATAGAATGGAATGCGATGAGAGAGACCTGATCCCTGACGAGAGTAATCTCGCATTTCGCATCCATTGTTATTCCCTTATTTCCTTCAGTTCACTCTCTTCACTTCGAGATCCGCTTCCCTCATCCTTGGAAATATTTTTTTTTTCTTCTTTTCCCCCCCTTGTTTTTACTAAATCGGAGAAAAGTTGTCATGGTCAGCGAGATTGAAAACGATTCCGGTTTCTTCTGTCTGGGTGCAACACGGTTTGATTAGTGTGGAATCAAACTGCTTCATCTCATCTCATTGAGAAGTGGTTTCGTGCTACTAAAAATATTGTGCTAAGCGTAAGCGTCAATTGGAGGGAAGACGGGAGGATAGGGGCATTTGCCGACAAACTTTTTATTTTTTCATTATATTTTACAGTATTATGCGCAATCGACATTCTCATTTAAGCCCACATCGAAGAGATGGGTGGCAGTTCTGATGAAAATTTTACCATTTCATGTCCCCTTTTCGCAAATACGTTTTGATAAATAGGGAGAAAGGGGAAAAGGTCTTCTTTTACTTATCAAATGTTGGTAAATGCTGGGAGCTTCCTGGGACTTTGTCCTGGAAACGATTCGGTACCCCGGGACTCCGCTAAATCCCAATACCTGCTGGTTCTGAAGTCAGGCTCCTTTTCCTTCATCTTCCGTTTGTCCCCCTTTCAACGGAGAAAAACATTTAGTATTTGAACTCTCATGATGGTAATCCATAATCTCCATTCTTGCTGGAAACTAGGTTTCGAGCTTCAACGAGACGTAGATCGAATGATAGAGATTGACACCTCAGAATATGCATACATTTTTATTCTGACAAGAAGTTGATATGCGAGAAAAAATCTTAGTTTTGGACTGTCTTCCACCGATAAATAAACCTGAATCTCGTGAGGGGATTAAAAAAAAAGTCGGTGAGGGGAAATCCCCCATGGACGATGGGACTGGGATTTCACGTATAGAACCGGTACGATACTTAGAAATGCCCTCAATCTTTCCTTTAGTGAAATGAAAACTAGGTGATGCATCCTTGTCGTCGCATCTGGTCCCTCACACCCTCCCATCTCGTACGTGCCTCCAGAAACAACATTGCTAATTTTTTTGCTAATTCGTTTATGGAATGAAGTTTATCCAACTTTCATGCTTCCTGTATTCCGACTTGATCGTCCCGGCTCAAGATTTCTTAGACTCTTAGTTTCAAAGTGTCGTGAAATCTATATTCAGGCCATACGAATTTTCTCTGCTTTTTTTTTTTATTAAACCCCCCTGGACTCATTAGCTCAAGGCCAAAATGAATGACGTCGTTGAGCCATCTGCAGTTTCTATATTCACCACTTCGTGGAGCCTTGAGTATTAAAAAGCTATCAATCATTCCAACGTAAACTGAGATTGACCCCACTAGTAAGAATCCTCATGGAGCGGCTTTGAAGAATGCTGCATCGCATCGATCGGACGCATAAAAAAAACTTCTACACCCATGCTTACATTGATACTCTAGAACTGAGAAGTTCAGGTCTGTAGCAATGGAACTGCTTCTTTTCTGCCTTCCGTTTCTGATAGCCCGAAATATGGCAAGGGGTGAGATCCAACGTTCTTCAATTTCTTTGTGTTGATGTGGCTATCACTAACGATAGTCTCAGTTTACGGTAGGCGAAAATTCAACAAAAATATCCGCCTTCCGATGTTAAGATGTATTCCTTATTAAAATATATTTATATGCAATTCAAATTTTATTTAAATTTTAGTGTATTTATTCTGCAGTAATTTGATTCGGACTTACTTCTGTCCAATATTCAGATAGTATGAGTGGTGCTAAGTCATGTTGCACGTTGCTGTAATGTCACGACAATGTAATGTGATAATGGCAAGTATTAGCAACATAATGTGACGGAATGTAATGCGATATAGCGCAGTGTTCTGCATGTAATGCAAAACAACTTAAAGTGATACGTGCTACTATGATAATAATGGAAATGTTACGTATTGGTTATGTTTGAAATATTGCAGGGTGAAGATGGCGCAGGAGGGGAGGGGAGGATGATGAACCGGATGAAGAAGAGTCTGAGGGAGGACCTAAAGAGATTCTCCCAGAGGATCCGAGGTGGTCAGAGGTCATCAGATCGGGCAGCCTCTGGCATCATGTCACAGGGCCAGAAGACAGAACCTTCGATGTCCAGCCTCTTGGTGTTTCAAGGCCAGGATCGACGATCCCAGTCTTCCGTCGACAGTGCCCCCTCTGGATCTGGATCCAGTAGGCTCATTTCTTTCCTTCCCTTTTTTTCCTCTCTTATTTGTATCTCTGATCTCTCTATAGTTGCTTCTTTGGATCCATTTTTTTTTAATGCAGAGTTTCTTATCAGAATCACATCAAAATCACCTCCTGGTAACTTTGTGTAAGAGGAATTGAAAATTTTGCCTTTCACCTTTGTCAATTGATCTTTGTTATTGACATGTATATTTTTTGAAACTGTAATAACAGAAAGTACCGTTCTTGCTGTGGAAACCTGCTTTTGTTCACATTAGAGTATATTTTTTTAATTTCTAAATATCATGTTCATACCTTTGCATGCACTGGAGTCCCTCCAGAGTCCACACTGTGGAAGATTGAGGAATTTCATCTCCAATGTTTAATCTGATTTCTGAATCGTTGTAGGCACACAGCCATTGGTTCAGCCAGGGAGTAACCGAAGCTCCTTCTCCATGACGACAGGTGAAGAATCAGGGATGGGGGCAGGTATAGGAACAGAAACTCAAGTTCCAGCAATTCAGCCTGTGCATGCTATTGGGAGAGCACGTGCCCTGGTCAATTGTACCCCCAATCCCTATGATAGGGATGCACTCCGCTTCAAGGTATGGCACTGTCTCTCATTCTATCAGCCTGAATTTTTTTTTGCATTCTTGTTACACCCTGTTTGTTTTGTTGGTTTGTGACCTCTTCATGTTTTATTCATCCAAATGACTATACCATCATCAGGATAGCCTGATGAAAGTAAGTGTTAAAAAAACACATAATTTAAATCATCTTAGCTTTATGTAGGTTCCTTAATACCATTTTAAAAATAATGTTATATTGTTGGCTTGCCAAATTCCTTATTTATACATATTTTAAACTCAGATAACCTTGCAATTTGTAAATTTATTTGCCTCATTTATGCTATCCTGCCAAATATCAATCCACCTGTGTACATGATGATTGCTTCCCTGTTCATATGGTCGTGGGTCAACTTTAGCATTGGTGATAGCCTGAGCCCAGCCTGACCAAGCATGGTTACCTGCATGTCCACAATACTTTTGTCACACATTGACATTTTGCACCACATTCCCAGGGCAGGTCCCTTGGTATTGTATTAGATAGGCTGGACCTTCCTACCAAGTGGTATGCATTTACCTTGCCCTCATAGAACACAGTAGTTCCCATCATGTCAAATGGTGTTCCAGACCTCACCCAGGCTTTATATTGTATACTTTGCTAGTAAAAACCCAGACAGTTTTCAACAATACATAACACTTCTCTTACTGCATATATTTTAATGTGGTTTGTGGCATTTGGAAAAGGAATGAATAACCTTAAAAATGGTGTACCTACATTTAAAATATTTTCAACAGTTTTAGAAGTTTGGGAGCTCATGTAAACAATGAACAAAAGCTGTCACCACACACTCAGATGCAGACAGCATGTGACCTTCAGCTGCCACCTGTGCATCCCCAGTGCCACAAAAAATACACCGTTTTTGCTTGCTGTTCATATGAGCTCCTGAATTTCTGAAACTGTTGAAGATATTTGAAATGTAAGTACACCACTTTAGAGCTTAGTCATTCCTCTTTCAAATGCTGCAAACCACATTAAAATATATGCAGTGAGTGCAGTATAGAGTATCATTGAAAACTGTCCAGTTTTTTTTTGGCCCACTCTTCATGCTATAGGCAGCATCCTTATCTCGCAATCTGGTTTAACCATTTTATTTCCATTTATTTATTTCACTTTTAATTTTTTCCTTTACTGCATACTTTGAAAAAACTTTTATGATTCAATGTTGGTTTTGCAATTCTTCAGGCAGCTAGCAGGAGCATGTTTTCTTTAGTAAGATTGTGGAAACATTACATTTCTCTCTTTCCCACACATGCATGCAGAGTTCCAATTTTGAGGCATGGCTCACTAGCATTGCTCCAATGTCCTGCAAGTACTATTATTCTTATGATTCTTTTTATGGTACTAGTAGTGATGAAGAAAACATGACTGGGGAATGAGTAGGACTGAGGCTTTTAGAAGCATGAATGGGAGGGTCTGGGACCAAAGGCAGAAAGAGGCAGTAGTCATGTTCATGGGAGATGATGATGCTGTTTCTTTCATCACAATATGCATAGATGCATATTTTCTACCATGTTCCAGTGCCCATCCTAAGAATGGATAAGGAAGAAGATGCCAAGTAAAGAGCTGTGTAATAATATAAGTATTAAAAAATTAAGATGTTGAAAAAATTTGATGCAATTTGAAAAGAAAATCAGGTTAAAAAAATGCATAATTTTTGTCAACTTTGCCAATTTTAAACTCAACCAATATTGATGGATGTAGTTGTATTGAGTGTTTCATCCCAAATTTCACTGACCTGTAGTTACTGTGGTGTTTTATGATGGACTGGAATGTGGAATGGTTCAATTTCCCAGAAAGGGGACATCATTGAGATTCTGAGCAAGAGCAGTTCAGGACTGTGGACGGGTCGAATTGGGGACAGTGTGGGGACAGTGAAGTTCATCTCAGTTGAGATGATTCCAGAGGATCTGGATGAGGGTGGAGGTGAGGATGGGCGAGATAGGAGACGACGCACAAGTAGAGCTCGCACTCGAAGTTCTGTTGCCAGCAGCCACTCCTCCCTTGAATCTCGACCAGGGGATGTGGAGGAGCTCCTCAAGGCTATTCATCTTGAGGTATATTCATTCACTCTTTTTTTTTTGTGAGTTTCTCCTCTATAAGATCTTTCAGCTTTTCTCCCACTAGATAGTTTTATCTTAAAAGCTCACTTACTTTTCATGAAAGAGGAGTGCCCCTCACCTTTTTTTTCCCTCCCCTATTTTGTTAATTCATTCTACAACATCTAGTTGGTATTGCCTGGCCCAGGGTGTTTCACCTCTCAGTAGGAGAGAAAGAAGAGAACAATAAGACTACATGAGCCTGAGTAAACTCATCTGTAAGAGTAGAAGAACAATCTATTGCTGTTCTGCTTGCTCTCTAGAATTAGGGAAGCTTAGCTGGGGATGTGAAGTTCAGTCATCATTCCCTGCTGAACTTCTTGCGTGAGCATATAGTGGAGTAGGAATGGGAAAAACTTCAGTGGAGCAATCTAGGAAAGAAAGCATGTCAAAAGGGTGGGTGTGGTTGAGATTTAGCAAAAGCTGGGAACATCTGGGAAAGGAACCCAGGAAAGAAAGTAAACAAGTATGAATTTGCTTGGTTTCAATTTTACTCAGATTGAGTGGGTCATATGCCCACATGGCACAAGTACATCCTGAAGACATCCCCTTGGGACACACCCTATACTTTCAGGGACAACTCAGGGATATCAAAATATCTGGGTGCATAGATATCCCATGAATGTTCCTTTTTTTCGTGAAATTTACTGTTTCTGCCATACAGGACAACCCTTTACTTTCTGAGATCTCTCTATTTGACCTTCTAGGAATCCCCAGTCTTAAGTTATTGACCAATGAGAGAATAATGGCTAAGAGGGGGGGAAACCCTTTTCTTGAGAGACTTCCTAATACTGTATATGAGAGAAATCTCCATGGGGTGAAATTTAACTCTTTTTATGAGAAGTGACTCATTTTCATGGATGAGTTATATAGGCTTTACTTCATTAATGATGAAGCATGGGTTCAAATCTCCAACCAGGATAGTGATACCCAGACATGCCAATCTGACATTAATAATAATGTAGTGAAATAATTTTAAATTAAGACCTTAATTCCACTTTCACTTTCCTTAACTATACTTAACTCTACTCCTTAATGTCCACAGTCCAAAAGTTGCCCAATTGGGGACATCCCTGGGATGTCACTATGCTGTATGGGTGGTCATGAAGTCTATAAAGAGAGAGGGGCAAAAATTTAGGCAAAAAATTGGCTCCTCTTTCCTGATCACACAAGGTTGGCAGCACCTCTCCTACTTGATGTAATTTTGAAATGTACAATGATATTCATATCTAGCTGTATGATGTAGTATTTTTATTTATCCCTAAAGGATCATCTTCATCCCTCAATTTTGGATTTAAAGATGTTCTCCTGTCTGGCATTAGGACCTTTGATTCAAACTACTTATATTTTTTGCATAAAAATATCTGTTGATGCCTTAGGAGGAGTTGAAGTCATTGGATCTGATTTCTGTTCTTTTAGGAGCACATCTCATTGTTCAAGCTGCAAGGCTATGATACACTGGAGGAGTTAAAACGATTGGATGATGAGGAGTTGGATTATCTGGGGATCAAGGACCTGCAGCAGCGTCAGCGCATCCTAGATGCTGTTGACCTCCTTCATGCTCATGAGTGTATGACCCTCATCTCTTATCTCTTACTGCTTCCTATGGTTGGTTTATTGTATCCATGAAAAATGCCTCCAAAAAGGGGTATGAGGGAGCTGAACCTCAGTAATGAACCCCTCTACAGGGTGACACAAAAGTTCTGTACACTCGGTTATCTCAACTTTTTATAACCATTTTTAAAGAACTCACAAATGGGGACAACGCTATTAGAAACTACAACCATTTTTGCATCGACTGCGGCACGCAGGGTTTCCTGGGGGATTTTGATCCATTCCGTTTGAAGGGCACGCTTCAGGGATTCGAGAGATGCATGGGGAGTAGCACAGGCTTTGCTCTCCAAGATGCTCCACACGCAAAAGTCCAATGGGTTCAGGTCTGGACTATAAGGAGGCCATTCTGCCGAGGTGATGAAGTCAGGGAATTCTTTTCTGCAGAAGGCCTGAGTGATTTTTGCCTTGTGGGCTGGCGCAGAGTCCTGTTGGAAAGTCCATTTGCGGTTTCCGAAGTGCTTTTTGGCCCAGGGCATTACAGTATCCTCCAGGATAAGGTCACGATAGGCAATCGCGTCGATCTTCATGCCAGACGGCACAAAAACCAGGGGCGTGCGCCCCTCTGCAGTGATACCCGCCCACACCATCACAGAAGCTGGCATCTGTGTTCGAGAGACACGTCGGAGGTCTTGAGAGATACCTGACGACTCTGCTGCCCATACTCGATCATTTTGAGAGTTAAATGATTGCTCGATCGTGAAGAGCTTCTCGTCAGAAAAGAGGATATTGCGATGGCAGCCATCTGCGAACCGACGGAGAAGGGCCTGCGATCGTTGCAGCCTAGTTTTCTTCGCTTGCTCCGTGAGATGTTGAGCGTTTTGGAGTTTGAAAGGCCGAAGATTCTGATCGTGAAGAGCTTCTCGTCAGAAAAGAGGATATTGCGATGGCAGCCATCTGCGAACCGACGGAGAAGGGCCTGCGATCGTTGCAGCTTAGTTTTCTTCGCTTGCTCCGTGAGATGTTGAGCGTTTTGGAGTTTGAAAGGCCGAAGATTCAGCTTGCTCTTGACAATTCGCCGGAGCGATTCGCGATTTATCTTAGTCGTTTGGGCCATTTTTCTCAGCGATTGCTTGGGATTTCGACGAAGCCGAGATCTAACCCTTTTGATGTTGGCAGTGGTTGACACAGACTTCGGTCGACCTGATCGATGACGATCTTCTGTAGAGTTTGTCTCAAGGAACCGCTGAATTGTACGTTTGATGAAGTTCCGGTTGTAGCCATTGTTCTGGAGCAGTCGGAAAATCTCGGTGGGAGACTTCCCAGCTTCGTGCAAACTGATCACAGCCGACCGACAATCTTCATTGGACAATGGCATGACGAAAATGATAGTTTCATCAGCACTTTGAGAATCCCCTAAGTCACGCGTACCTTAAGCAACGTGTAGAAACCAAGCCAAGCATATATGAACGTGGTAGCTTAGAATCGAGAACAGTTTTTTAAAGTGTACAGAACTTTTGTGTCACCCTGTATATCCCCCTCTGCTATGGTGTTCACAAGAGGGAAAGGGGGGCCCTCAGGGCTTAACCCCCTCCCCACCACACTCATTATTTGCACCATTGCCTCTCTGTGCCCTCAGGCATCTCATAAAAATTATAGCATTTGAAGAAGCCAGGACATGGTGGATGTTAGTGTTGCAGAGAATGGTTCAGATTCCAATGTCATTTTAAATGCATGAGTGGAGACTAAAGTACACCCTGAATCATAATGCCTTTACTTCAATTTGATACAAGCCCCCATGTCCTTTGATATAGACTTGTTAAAGAGTTGCACACAACTTTGCTTGTGCTTGCAACTCCTACAGAAAAGTTTATATCTCATGAACTCAAGGGCACTCTTTGTCTGCAAAAAACCATTCAGAAGGGCTTGTTCTTAAGGAAATATCTCTTTTCCCCTGCAATTTGGTTGGGCTACATGAATGACTAGGAGAGTGTAGGCATGCACTTACCCCACACATGTACAGCAATTCCACCCTGAGATCAACAAGGATAATCAGCACTAGCACCAAGTCATTAAAGGCATTTGATCTCTATATATATTAGAGGCAAATATCAGAAGTATTATTTATGTAGTTTCATCATAGTTCATAATTTAGTGTGCAATGGCTTCCATTAACATGTCATTCTCCATTTCATGAAAAATGAAGGAGCACTTCCACCAATTAGTCTAGCAGTATTAGTTACTTTTGGTAGTATTTCTTGGAATGGAGTGAGTCAGGCTTTTGTTTCATATTGGTATATAATATTGCCAACAGAGCAATAACCACACTTTTCACAAGGTATTGTTTTTCCATTTGTATGTAGCATCCATAGGCAGCAATTTGTTGAGAAATTTGGGCTTAGAGACAAAATTTGGGGGGGGCTCGAGCCCCCAGAGGCCCTAGGAAGGCCTATGGTAGCATCTATTTAAACTTAATCAGAAAATGTACTTGAATGTTAATATTATGGTATGTTTTGTTATTTCAAAGTTGTGTAAAATTGTAACTCAGCTCTTTTAGTTTTATGTTAGTCACATCTTAGCTCTTTTAGTGTCATGATTTTCTGCCATGCCAATTTACAAATTATCAATGCTTGAATTGATCATCCTCAGAGCATGTGGTGTACAATATGACTGAATTCATTCATTCCAACAGTTGAGTCAGAAGGAGCATTGTCAAGTGGGGAAGAATCCTCAACTTCCGTAGCCCGTGGGTCCCTCCTATACCAGACAGATGACTGTAAAAGCAGCCAGCTTCAACTGTTAAAGGATGAAGGGACTGCAACTGGAACGGGAGTGAGCGTGCGACCCAAGACACATTCATCATCGTCGTCTTCTATGGGCTCTCGGCGTAGTGACTCCCTCCTTCTTAGCCAGGGTGATCCAGTGTCAGAGCACAAAGCAGGACCTGAACGCAAGTCTAATGATTCAGGTTATGGGGGTTCTGTGCTACTCCTTGGTTCTAACAACAACATCCCATTGAGGACTCAGAAGGATGGGAAGCAGCGGGATGTTAAGTCCAGTCCCCCTGCAGAACAGAGGCAAAATCCTTCATTGAAGTAGAGGACCTGACATTGTCGATTGCACAAGAAGTAGTGCATTGTGATGGTGACATTCCAATGAGCATGTCCAATGAGATTTCCATCTCAATCTTCTATGTTTTGTCCCTACCTGTTGACTTGCTCATATGCCTTTTCTAAATCTTAGTTTTCTGTTTTTGTATTGAATTGCATTTGAGAGATCTGATGGTTTTCTGGAAATATATAAAGAAATGTCAGAATTGCATTCTGATTCATGTTTCCATTTTTCTTTTACTTCTTAATATTGCATGTGTCATCCCCCCCTGGCTTAATGTCAATCCATTTCTAAGTTTTCAATCAGCTTATCTTCACTTGCATGGCATGTCTGCATTTTAGCAAGAAATTCAGAATAAATGTAAACATTTAATATAATAATGGAAAGAGCATCCACACAATACTGTTGGATGTGAAATGCAAGTGTAGTTTATCGAGTTCACAAAATGGCTCTACTCTATGTGTACGTCAGCAACTGACTGACGTACACATGCAAATGGATGTCTGCAGTATGGTACAAGCAATGATTCAACTCATAATAATAATAATATTTATTGGGACAGAAAGTGGACCATGCAACAGTGTAAACTATGGAATCAGCCTTGAGAGTGGTCCCCAGATGAGAAACGAGAGAGGAAAAGAGGCGCAAAGGCAAGGTGGTTCTCAAAACGGAAGCAAACTACATGTATATACACTGTTTAAGGATTGAATTCGTCCCCCCCCCCCCCCCCCGAGTAGTGGAGAACGGAGAAAGCACAACTTCCAGAGGATCTGCATCATTAGCAAATCCCAAAAGCCATATTTGTATAACGCACGATCGTCTGGCGTGGCCGGTAGTACTACGCGTATGTCGTGGTACTTCGATAGCTACCAGCAAAACTACCTTGACCGTCACGAAAATAAAAAGGGTGTTAGAACTTGTCCCTTTGGGAAGATTCGTATTGGTCATGGAATCAGTAGCCGATAGGCAAGGATTCCCAAGACTGGGTTTCTTAGATTTTGTTTATTCTAATCTAAAATTTACTACAACAAAAAAACAACAACGTAAGTTATAAAACATCGAGTTAATAGAATAATGTACAGGACCTTTCAGCACAACTCGACAGCTTCGCGAATGAACAGCTTCCGCTCGAGAGAGGTAAGTGGAAAAAAAACCTTCAAGGAAAGAACAAGATTCAACTCACCCTCGATGCAGTACGTTTTGCGAAGCCTCGTGATCGGTGGCAATCACAGCTAAGACAACGAAATCGGAAGGGGTTACTCGGGCTCCTACCGTCCGCACGCCCACACTCCAATTTCGTCCTTGCTATTTCTAAGTGTTCCTCCCGGCTCCAACCAGCGAATCTGGCCCCAACCAGATCCTCTTAAGCCCGGCTCCAACCAACGCTTAGGCCCCTCGACTTCAACCGAGTAGAAATAGTAAGGTTCGATTTTCAATGGGGACCTAACCCGGTGCCTGAGCAGCAGCAACAAAGTCTGGAACACTTCATCAACCTCCGTCTCTCCCCTCTCTCCAAGTTGAGTTTACACTGTTTCCGGATTGAATTCGTACCATCCCCCTATAGTGGTGTATGAAGGAAACACATTTCCAGAGGTTTCGCCTCAGCAGGCAATAGATAAAACCACCCATGTGTAAGATGTCACTATCTGCAATCGATGGAAGCGCTCCTATAGGGGGTACGAATTCAATCTGGAAACAGTGTATATAGATTTTTCTACGTCCGTCCACGTCACGGTAAACTCGGACGCTGAGTGGTCAGAAGGCTGGATGATACTAATAATAATGGCAGGAGATTTGGGGAAAGTGGTTGACCCTTGATCCTTCTTGACAGCGGAATCGTGGAGAAGCCATAGATTACAAGAAGGCTCCCCATTTGTCTTGTTGCTGTCACAAATTCTCCTCTGTTAAAGATAAAGGGACGCGCGTGGAGGAGAAGTAGCGATAAATTCCAACCCCTTCCAGGGCACTAGCCTGGCGCCGAACTATGAGTGCACTACAATTGTGAAAGGTGTCACCAGTGACATAGGCAGGAAATCGACAAGGGGGGGGGGGCAGGTAGACGCCCTAGAAATCCACCAAAGTAATCATGGTCTTGCATCTTGGGTCCGTGGACAGACGTCAGACTTTCCTAAAAGGGGCATAGCTACACTGTTTCCAGATTGAATTCGTATCCCCTATAGGAGCGCTTCCATCGATTGCAGGTAGTGACATCTTACACATGGGTGGTTTTGTCTATTGCCTGCCGAGGCGAAACCTCTGGAAATGTGTTTCCTTCATTCACCACTATAGGGGGATGGTACGAATTCAGTCTGGAAACAGTGTAAAATTTGAATTTCCAAGGAAGGTTGAAATATGCCTGTCAGTGTCACTGACTGGGAAGGGGTTCTATCCCCCAAACCCCCTCCCCCCCTCCTTCCCTACGCCACTGCGGTGTCACTACCTGCAATCGATGGAGGCGCTCCTATGGGTGTACGAATTCAATCCGAAAATGGTGTATTCAATTCAACACATACCGTATAAAGGAAAAGAAACAGACCAACAACTTTCAGCTTAAATATCTCCGCTCACAATAGTGGTGTTTTCCCGAAACTTTCATTATGCATACACAGGCATGATAATTATCCAATGTTGCCCTGAAATGAAAAAAAAAAACTCATTTTTTTCAGTTACCTTTTGTTTGGCCCACCCTGTACAAGATGTCCCACGCAAGCCTGACACATTTATCTTGCAGTCATTCAATAATGGTAATATGAAAAAGCTTGAAAGTTGGAACTTAAATAAGAGGGTTTTTACAAATCGTTGAGAACCTCGACGCCGCACTGTTGTGCAATATCTAAGAGCGTGGCTTCTTGCCGACAGCCAGGGACTGATTTGACCCCGAATTGACGTCGTGGAAACGGCAGGAAGACGATGACCCGAAGCACAAAAGCCGGCAACGAAGTGGAGAGCACAGAATGGGGTCGGAAAACTCGATCGGCCAGCCGCGTTGCCCGACCTCAACCCAATCGAAAACGTGTGAAAACTACTCTAGATGCGATTGCAAAAAAAAAAGCTCAGAAATTATCGGTCCTTGGTGTCGGCAATCAGACGGGAGTGGAAAACACTCCCGGTGGACTTGGCTGCAACCAGTGGCATATTTTACAGGGGGGACAGAGGAGGCAGCCGCCCCCCCTGGCGCCCCTGGGACAGGGCTTGGCGCCCCCTTGGAGGTAATACGAAGGACGTACCAAAAATATCGAGACTCTGGCTATAATTTTCTTAATGTGTTTGCCACGAAATTCTAATCCAGTTTCCTTCAATGTGTAACAAATACGCAATGCACACTCAGAAGTACAAATTGCTCTCTCTTATGCTTAACAAAATACAGGCAGTGAAAGGAACACATGCACCAGTAATTCCAGACGTAACAACACATTCAGTCATCTTGTGGATCATCATGAACCTTCTCCAAGTAGTCCCCTTTGGGGTGGACGCATTTCTGCCACCGCGATTCACACTTCAGGGCATCAATCCGCAAACACATTAAGAAAATTATAGCCAGAGCCTCGATACTTTTGGTACGTCCCTCGTAATTTCCCCACCTGATATCGCTAGGGTAGGGTATGGCGCCCCCGTGCCCTGCCCCCCCCCCACCCCCCGACCCCTCAGCCAAAATACGCCACTGGCTGTAACACTTGCACTAAGTATGAAAACTCGTGTTTTTCGAGTCATTGAAAGTCAGGGTGATTTTATATTGCATTAGTGATCAGGGTGTCCTGTGTGCATAAATACAATAAAATAATCATCGCTTCATCGGCTTGTCCGATGAAGTTAGTGAGGGTGGGAAACTTTTGACGAATACTGAAAGGATGCAGTTTCAAGGTATGCTAGATGCTTACCTGAACGAACCCAGTTCGAATTTTGGAGAGGTATTGGAGATGGGTGTCATGCTGGAAATTTGTGAATTATTTTTGGACATTTAAAAATTGGAAATTAATTCTAAGAGATTGGGCAAAGAGGAAACAACATATACTGGAAGGTAAGATGATGCTGGGAAAGACAAGGGCATTTGCAAGTAGTTTGAGTTCGTTTGCAGAGACCAGAGGAGGTGTTGAATGGATGCCGGACAAATTGTTTTTTTTTTTTTTTTGTTGCATGAAATGCAATGATGGTGCGCATCTAGAATTAAATCTACGAGTTTGACTTTTCGAAGGGTTGAATAGGTTCATAATTTGGGATAAGGCCATTTAGATCTTTTCTGAGAGTGATGTAAGCCTGTTGGAGTGAGCTATGAATATAGACTGGGTTTTACAAACGTTTATGTGCATTTTATTCTTGTTAATTCAGTTTTGGAAGTGGTGAAGCTCAATTTGGAGGATCGGAACGACCAGATTTGGATGGGAAGAGTAAAAAATAGCGTGGTCTGCATATATGTCGACGTGTGCAGTTTTTATGCTCAAGGGAAGGTTCTTTTTTTTATTATTAGATAATTTAAGAACCGGCGTTTCATGTGCGATAGGTGACAGTAGCATGTATCGTCTGCATAAGTCGAAGATGGCGACCTCCTTTCACGTTCGCGCCAGTGAATCGTCCTGCTGGTCCAGCTCTCTTCGGCAGTTAGCTTAGCGTTAATATGTTTGAGTAACTTCTCCAGTGGTCAAATGTGAGCCTCTACCGCTGAAGTTAGGACAGCAGAGCCCAAAACATGTCGAGGGGGAGGCTGGGTTTGGAAGAAACTCTGCTTGTTCCGAGCAATGCTAGTACTCCGTCTGACGGAGGCTGTGAAGTCGTTGATCTCAGTGGGAAAAGCCTGAAGGGTGTCCCTGTACCTACTGACGATCAGATGAATGCGTCCACTCTCATTCTGAATCACAACGAAATTCCTCGACTCGAGAATCTGGATAATTATGGCAACTTGCGAAAAGTGAGCGCTTATGTTTCCTAGCAAATGAATGGACGTAGTTCTTGTACTAATGTGCCTAGGTTAGGCTATCTCAAAATAAATCCCCTGCATCTGTCTCTTTCCAGCTTTTGATCTCTCACAACTCAGTAACACGCATGTATGGTGTGAGCCGCCTTTACACCCTCCACATCCTTGACCTTTCATTCAATAACATTTCCTCTATTGAAGGATTGAGGGACCTGAAGCACCTTCAACGCCTCTCCCTTGCTGGAAATAATCTGAAGGTGAGTGATGTGTCATAGGCTTTTATTATTAGACCTACCTCTCCTATATCTCCGTGTGGCAGGCTAAGAGGACTCTGATGATGGCTTTGATTGCATTTTCTCCAGTCAGTGGCTCATCTGAACACCAACATCCATCTCACATATTTAGATCTTTCAAGCAACTGCATTTCACAAGTGGCTGACCTGAAGAATATGAAGCAGCTGAAGGTGGGTTAAATCACTTCATCTGAATTTGATGTCTTCTTTCTGTGTCAGCTAGTGCTTCTTCTTTAACCTACTCTCAAAGATGCCATGAACATCTTATGCATCTGCATAGAGTGTTCTTGTGAATTTTTATATTTGGTGTACCTTATTATTTGACCTGCAGGTATTACTTCTACATGACAACCAGATTAATGACTTGAAGTTCTGCGAACGATACTTGCCTGACCACATTGAAACCCTGACGCTGGCCAACAATCGTGTCACAGACCTCAACCAGGTTAGGTATTTGAAACAACTGACCTATTTAACACAGCTCACCATTGATGGAAATCCCTGCGTTGACTTCACAGGGAATAAAGTGTGAGTGCCATTACATTTGTATATGTCATTTTGAGTCTACAAATTTGTTTCACCATTTCTCCTCAATCAAGGTACTCCTTTATTTACTTAGGGGATTTGATTATCGTCCATTCATTGTCAATTGGTGCCTGAATCTCAAACTCTTGGACTGCTGTGTTGTGACTCCCAAGGAATGGTAGTTTATCTAGTGATTTTTAGTATTCCTATCTCGTGACTAACTGACCTAATATCCATGTGCTTCCTCAGCTTGAAAGCAGAGTGGCTGTATTCACAAGGAAAGGGACGAAGTTTTGCTGTGGGTCAACACAAGGAACTAGTCAACTATTTAGTATCATCTTGTCCTCTGAGTGATCAGGGGAGTTTGACCACAGAAGATGAGGAAAGGCTGGCTAAAGTCTTGCGCATGGCTGCTCAACATCAACTGGCCATTGCCAATCATGATGGCTCCAAAACAGGTAAGAATCATTTAAGGCATGTTAGGTAGGAGTTATGGATTCATCTTAATCTTCGAAGCAATAGATCTCAATGATGAGAAGAACCCAAGAAGAAACATCCCAGGGAAGAGTAATAGTATGGAGTACATAGATGTTCCCCATGCTTGCACAGAATGTTTTTTGTTTTTTTTAGGGCTGAGAATTCCTTTGTGTGATTTCTGGTCTTGGATGAGCAGTATAGATCCAGCAGATGGCTATCAACAAAAGCTTCACTGAAGGCAGCCTAATAGCCTAGAGTTAGAATGCTGCAGCATTTCCATGTCATATGGAAGGCTGCATTTGGTCTTTTGACTCCATCTGGACTTGGAATAGCACAAGTAGTGTCTGGTCTCATTCAAGGACTAAAGCTTTGTGGTTATGAAAGTGAGACCGTGTTGCAAAGATGCAGCTGCTGCCACTTGCATAATGATGCCTATGACTGTAAGACTAACGAAACAACTTGGATGGAGGTTTTTTGCTCAACTTCATTGATGGTTCAAGAGTAGTGTGTAACATGAGAAGAGAATTGAAAAGAAAGCAGACACTAGCAATAGTTATAAGCCTCGATACAGGAAAATGGCTAATGGGAAGGTTGAAAACCACCGGAAATCCCAAAATGAGGAGAACCTGCATTCAAATACAGGTGCACCATGACAGTAGCATCATGAAGCTTTGGACCTAGATTATAATTTCTTTCAATTTCCTTTTCTTCTGTAGCGAATTAGGACCCTTTCTATTCATATTCATTTCAATCTTTGATTACTTTTAGAACTCTCCATTAGGTTATACTTAGTTTGGTTTTGAGGAAGGGGATTGGGTGTCTCAAAATTTCAAATGCTGTGTGATGCTAGTTTCCACTCGTTGAGATAATGAGAGGGAGAATGTGAGAGGGGTCTTGCCTGGAGACTTGTGCATAGTTTTGTCCCTTTTTGTTATTTTGGAATTTATCTTTTTTTTTGTTGCAATTTCAGCCCATTGCTAACTCAGGGAAGCCAGAATTGTATCTTTGAAAGAAGATTGTCAACAATGGAGACATGACATTTGCTCTCTGAAGCCTACTGTTTGACTCAATAGTGTCCTGTATGCCTTAGTGTCCTGTAGGCCTTGAATCTATACACTCTGGGCTTGCCCAAGGTGTTAGACATGACCTCTGGAGTAATATGTATGATGTACAAAATGAATTTAACTATATTATAAATGACAATTCCATATGTATAAGCTGCAACAATTAGCCTTAGGTAGTGGCTGAAAATGCCATAAGCCAAAATCTTGCCTACTCTCTTTTGCGAGAGGTGTATCTGTGTGGGGGTGTTGAATTTGATATTTCATAAAACCTCAGGTTAAAGGCACTTGCAGTATTGGTCACATTTCTGTCATAAGGCATAACCAATCAATTTAGCATTATGTTCATTCTATAGATTAAATGAAAGCCTAAAATTAGTTTAAGTCACTCAAAGATTGCAGGACTTAGAAAAGAAAGCAAAACTGCTTTGTGACTGTGTCAGATGTGACAGGAAAGTGTTGGATGTGACATGTTCTGTATATTTGAAAATAAACTTACAGAATAAATTTGTCCAGATTTGAGTAATGTTGAACATCTTGTGAAAGGTAATTGGAAAATCTTTTTCAGCCTCTACTCTCTTTTCAGTTACTATACTCAGTATGAATGAGGACAATGATGTCAAAACATTTCAGTGTATGTCCTGCATTCCTTGGATAATTATACCTTATAAGATATGAGTTTGATGTATATGGCTGCAGACAAGGATGCAGACACCCCACAGTCGACAAAAGTGAGCAAGAAAGAAGAAGAAGAAAAGATAGGAGAGAGGAGGTCAAATGAAAAGCAGATGGCAAATCGGAGGGCCAAGTCAGTGACTGGATCCAGGATAGCAACTCAATTGACCCGAGCTCGATCCTCGAGTTCACGTCCCTCATCTGCTGGAACCATACCAGGTTCTTGATTTTATTTTTTACCACCTACATTATTTCAGTGGCCAACTTATTTTTGACAGGTAATGCAGTGTTCAGTATCTGTTGCATTGACCCTAGGATTCAGAACTGGAAAAATCTGGAAACTCACAGTGGTAAAAACTACTTGTCACAAGGCTCAAAGTATTGGAAAACTTTTTGTTATAAGTTATTGGCAATTCCCTACATTTTGCTGTAGCAAAAAGAGACCTCTTAAACAAAGTGTAATTTATTGCCAAAAAGAATTCAGTCGTCCATTTAGAAAAAAGTGCAAAGGTTTAAGCATGTGTCATATTGCAAAATACTGCTTCTAATATGTGTGTGTTGGAAGCATGATGGGGGGTGTATTGCAGTGTGTAATATAATAATGTAGGTGTAATAAGAATTGGATGAGTCACCAATGCTGTCTACTGATCAGAAACAGTCCCGAATGATTGTCAGCCATACTCTTTCCTGGACAATTCTTTGAGCCGCAGTCTGTAGGACACTTAATGTTTGAAAAGTTTCAGGCTCAACATTTGGGCTTTGACTGAAAAATAGCCGAAGATAGACAAATGCTCTGACTGCCAGACGGTATAATTCTAGACTTGGCCTGACCTGCATTCTTAAAATCCTGAGATTAAGACTGACAGACAGTCCCCATGGCCACACCAATAAGTGGGTTGAATATAGTGGTTGTTTTATAAAGGTTTTGTTATATTGAGCATTGACTAGTAGATTTTCACCTTTTTCTGCCCCTTGGGTGCCTAGGTGGTTCTTTGGCTTTGTAAGAATGTTTCCGTTATTTGAAAACAGCCTCTCTCAACTCCAGCTGAGTTAGCAGTTGTGCAGAACCATCATTAAATTCACAAAGAAATTACAATTGTCTCCTATGCTTTTTCTGCATCTTGAGATCAAAAGAAGAAGAATGGTAGCATGTTTCTTTCATCCTGCTTGTTGAATATATGAAGTTATGAAGACAATACTGCTAAAACAGCCAGCATTGCAATTAAGAAAAGAAAAGAAACTATGGAATTAGAAGCATGTATTTGTGCCACTGTTACCAAAGTCAGTGGAGTCATTGGCTTGCTCAGGTGTAACCTGAGGAATGCTTCCAAGGAAACCAGGCAGCAACATACATATCATTGCTACAATGCCAGAATTGCTGAAGGGCATTTCCTCTTTTGTGCAGCAGAGCTAGGTGAAGTTTACAGAAGGAGATAATAAATCAGGATTACATAGCAGGTTTTATTCCTATGAGATCTTGCTAGTGCAATAAAGGATGACAGCAGATTGGTGATTCTGGCATTGAAAAGATTGCAGCCTGGCTAGTTTAGAGGTATGCTCAACTCAAAACAGAAAATTTTCACTTACATGACACTGGAATTTTAGCAATGATATATCTTCTCCATCCTATTCTGAAGTCTGCAACTGAAGAATGGGATCCCTTCAAAGTGGAATAGCAAGGAAGAGCTGGAGTCTGAGCTGCCTGTTTTTTCTTCAGGGAACATGATTGAATCAAATCCTGATGTGCAGGCATTTGACTGGAAAGCCCTTGACAGTTGGTAAAAAATAAAAATAAAATAAAGCCAAATTCTGGATCTTAAGTTCTTGTTTGAAAAAAGCATGGTACACCTACTTGATGCCAGGATTAACTGATTTGATTCAATGACATAAATTGCAAATCACATTTAGAGAAGGAAATGGTATGCTGGGTTCTTCTATGCCTCACATTCCTTCAAGAACTTTGTGCAATTTTTCCATTGGTTAATGGTAGGCTGAGATGCTCTTCCCTGAAGGTGTGATTCCTTCTTTCATTAGAATCTTATAAGCAGCCTTTTCGGAACTCGGAAAAACTTACCCAAGATACCCTTATTGCTATCACTTGGTAGCATCAAATTTTTTCCAGCATGTTCTTCTGACTTTATTTGAACATGTTTCAAGGAAGGCTAAACTCTCTCATTGATCCTCAGGGAAGACTGGGTCCCGTCGATCTCAGTACAATGTTCAACTATCAGCATCACTGTATTCAGACCCAAAGCAGCTGATGAGTCAGAGCTTGGAACCCAGGAGGGCAAGGGATATCTTTGGAGAGCATGAACCAGATGTCATGGTCCAGAGCATGGATGCTGGCATGTTCACCCAGAATGGGGATCTTCATATTGAGGACATTGAATGCAAGTGTCAGTGCCTCTTTCTCACTTTTCAATCATTGTTTATGCAAAATATATTCATACTTATTTGTTAATTTAAGGTGTAACTTGAGGTTTTAAAACCAATAAAAAATGTAATAACCTTAAATCCCTTCCTTTAATCAAGTTAATCAACCCATGAATGTTATGCCCTCTTCTCACCTCAAAAGCAAAGCTAAAACATTTGTCACTTCATGCTGTTTTTCAGAAAAATTCAAAGTATGTAGACAAAATTGATATTGAAGAAGTAAATGCAAATGTGACTAAAGATCATCTATTTTTTTAAAAATATTTCTCATCAGTTTCTATACGATATAGCCAATATTATGCACAATGGAAAATGTAAATTCTTCATTTTAATTGTGATTGTGGTTTTAATAAAGTAGTTTGGCACTAATTAAAGTAGTTTGAAAGGTTTGAAACTCAGAAAGGGAAAAAATATTATAATAGTATCATCAGTTTACATGTCTGCTCAGCCTTCAGCTCTTCCATCAGTCACACAAAGGAGAAGTGATATCTAATCAAGTAACCAGTGTTCTCATAACAATGATAAGTTTTTGTTTCCCCTCTAAAAGGAGGCTTTTTCATGCAAGTTAAATTGTATTAGAAAAATTAACCTTTCTTTTTGTGTTATGACAGGAAAAACTGTACTGCAAGCATGGGCTTTATAAGTGTTTTGACACTCTTGGGAGGAAAAAGGGCAGGGGGCAGGGTTAAGGGAGGAAAAGACAATTGTAAACAAAAAAGTATCATTTACAGCCAGTCTCTGAATGATTGGTGCCTGGTTTTATTATCAGTAGCTTGTACAATGCAAATACACCTCTGTTCATGTGAGACTATGCATATATCAAAATCAATTGACATCACTTGATTTATTTCTTGGCAGGGCTGATATAACTTGCAATAAAACTGATTTCTGAAGTGTGAAATATCATGCCCATTTCTCCATATTTTTCCAGTATGTTCTTTGTACAAGGTTCCTCACCTATCTTACTGATCTTATACATCACATATAATAATTGTGAAAAACATTTAAACTTATTTTAGATATAGAGGTATTTCTATTTTTTTTTACATTGCCTTTCATATATTCATATAGTACTTATTCCCTGCCTTAGTACTATTTCCTTTCATTAATATAGAGACCTAATGGATAATATCAGCCACCAGTAGGGAGCATTTCACGAAACAAGTTTCTAAATAGGAATGCCTTTTTTTCTCTTTCTGTCGGCAGCTTCTTCAGTGCTGCTGGAATCAAAAGGAAGGAAGATAGCACCTGCAAGCAAGGGACAGCCATATATACAATTGATGAAGAAACCATCTACGCCCTCATCAAGTCGACCAAGCAGTCGGGCCAGTGTTGCAAGTACTGGCTCTTCTATTCGGCCAGTTGGAACCCCGAAGATCCCCCGTGCTACCCAACGCACCATTGTTGCAGCTCGTCGTCTGGCTGCACCAAGCCCTCCAATGAAAGCCTCATCTCAAATAGGCATGAAGGTGATGAAGGGCAGGCCAAAGCCAACCATCCTTAATTCTCCTTTGCCCCTGAACACTGTGGATCCAAGGAAGGAGAAGGCTGCCATCATGATACAGAAGCATTGGAGGGGATACAAGACACGAAATCTGGATACCAAAGTTACAAAGTTGCTTGGGCAACTCCGGGCTGAACGCATTGAAGAATACATCACTGACATAGTGAAGAAGAATAAGTATGTTGTAATCTTGCATCACCAGCTACTTATGTTCAAACATCCATGATTTAAATTTCTTAGAGCTTCATAATGCTTTAAAATGTATATCCAATGAAGTAATAATGGGTTGTACCATCAAAGAGCAGTTTTGTGCTGTTTGATGGGAATATATAAGGTATTGAGGAATATGTTGAAAGAGAATAATTTTGAATTCTTATGGTATGTATAATTTGTTGTACTGATATAGGGTAAGCACAGATGGTGAAGCATAATAGTGTAGAACATGAGATACCATCCCATGACATATTCATGGATGTAGTTTTCAGACTGATTGAAGTGCTAAAACCATCTCAATAGTAGAGATTAGATTTTTATGTCCCATAAAGGATTTCCATACCAGACCATTCCCATTCCCATTCCCTGGACCTCACATTGAAAATTAATGAACCTCACTAATTTTCAATACAGGGGGATAAAGCTGGAAAAACACATTAGCATAAATATCCAATCCCTGCTCATGAAGGGCAAATTTATTTCAACCCATGTTAGCATGCACATGTTGGTGCAATATTAGATTGTTGTTGCCAACAATACATCAAGCTCACATACTATCATAGACTGATCAAAAAGGAATGGAACTTTCACTGCAGCTCAAATAACACTCATCAAAATTGTTGGCCACTTTGCAGGCGTCAACTATGTTCACTTTGCAACTCATGGTAAAAATGTCAGTGGTCTTTTGTTTAAGGAACTCTGTTGGTGATAAAAAGAAAATCATTCACTGAGACTCTCTAGCTTTTGCAGCAAATGTACCAACATACAGCAGGTACTTGCTGCAGATATCTGTGCATACATCTTTTGCAAAAGCTTGAGTCTCAGTGAACAATTTTCAGAGCTTCATCTTTGCCCTTTGCTCCAGCGCTGGCATTCCAACAAAATCCGCCAAAAGTTACTAACCATGGGAATTTCTTTTTATCACCAACAGAGTTCCTTAAATGAAAGACCACTGACATTTTTATGATGAGTTGCAATGTGAACATAGTTGATGCCTGCAGAGTGGCCAATAATTTCGATGAGTGTTATTTGAGCTGCAGCAAAAGTTCCACTCCTTTTTGATCAGTCTAGTGTGTAAAAAGATAAAGGTCAATAAGGCTGAATTTTTGTACACAATTTTCATGATAAATAAAATTCCTCAGAAGCTAGGGAAACTTATTGTACAATGGGGGAGTATCACCCCATATACAGAGGCCTCCATAATTGCTTCCCCTAGAGTCAAGTGATTCTTTCAATGTTTCAAAGTTGTAGCTGTCAAGTAGCTTACAATATTTCTCCCTAAGACATCATTTAACCATTTAACTGCTACTCCTTGTGTGTGCATATATATATGATTTCCTACTGTAGTGGCTTCACTGCTGATTGTACATATATAGTCAGATATACATCTCTGTCAAGATTATCAGCAATATAAATGTTTTGCAAGTACAAGGTACAAGTTTTAATTGCAAAGTCACTCTGCAGAATTCTGTTTTCAAGCTAGGATAGTGCATAGAGCTTACTCACCATCACTAGTGAACTATAAGAGTTTCTTGCAAATTATTGCAGATTCTTCTGATATAAGCAAAAATTGATATGCCTACTTATCTGAGGTTTTACATTCTCGCTCCCTTCCAAGGACCACCGGTCCTTGGGAGGCAAGAAGATACCTGTAACTGGATGAGGGATGCAGGAAGAGTCTTGATTGTGGAAGCAGTTGAAACAGGCTTGACAACTTGTTTGGGTCTTCAAAATTTGCTTGGAACAGCCCGAAAATAGTTTGAATCTAGCTAAACATGTTCTGAAAGCAAAATTTTCCTTTCACTATAAGATAATATCACTGATGTTTGACTTTTGTGTATGTTTTCACCATTTTGGCCCACTGTGCATTGTGTGCACTGATTTCCTGGGGCAGTCATCTGAACGGCAGGAGTGACTTGAAATGCCTTGCATTACAATAAAATACAATTTTTATGAAAAAGGGTTAGAAAATGCTTAGCACTGGGGCTTAAAGTACCACAAGATACCACTTGACTCAGGGAAAAGCAATGATGGATACTGCTGTGCATGAAGGAGATATCCTTCCATTTTGGGACATAGGTTTCCTTTCCTTAGCTGCTGAGGAATTTAATTTTCCATGAAAAATGACTAGCAAATAAAGGCCTTATTGACCCTTTCCTTTAGGCTGCAACATTTAATTTCTGTTTCATGTGAGAATCTGTGTACCTCATATATATTTGTTAAGAGGCTTCTATGGGATTTCTGTACCCAAGAAAGGGCAGCCTTGGAGTTATGGTCTGAAAAGTAGGGCATATCAAGAGCTTTGTTATTCCTAGTTTTAGTTCATACCAACAGTTGCACTTAATTGAGAGCCACCATTTGATAACACCTGGTCTAGAGGGAGTGTGGTATTGTGTACCCATGTGAAATACGTTGGGGATCCATTTTTTATTTTTCTTACAACATTGGTAAAAGTGATGGACCCTGGCAGAGTAAGGACTTTGCATGATTTCCTCCTCATGCTATGGTTGGTTTGCTTGCTCCTTGCTTTTTTATCACTGATTGTTAATTTGCCAACAGAATTCCAAGTGGCAAAATCATGTTTGCCTATCATTCTGAAAGGAATATGTTAGGATGGGAGGGGGTAGGAAAAAGTTGTTACATGCACATTTTTCTGACCCTTATAGAACCTTTCAAATCAGTGACAAAATATAATCAGCAGAAAATAAAATTAATCACTGCTGAATGATGCTTCCTAAGCATAGTTTGGTCTGGAATACTCTGAAAGGTGCTACCACATGGTCAGCATCACTTTTCCCAGCAAATGACAGGATGTAATGAAGTGATCCAAAATCCATAAACTTTTTGACCACCCCCTTCACACTGTTGAGCTGAACATGATATTCCATTCACAGGACCCTGCACTGATATTAGAGGTGGATTTTGCCATCCAAGAAACCTGTCAACCATTAATTACTATGACAATGACTTTGCATTGGACCTGATAGGTCGATGGCAGCAGAACTGGAGCGGGTGTCCCAGACATTGGAAGCTGAGAAAAAGATCAATGGGCAGTTGAAGGATGCTATTCTTGCTCTTTGGTACAAGGTCTGCATCTAATTGTTAATTTCTCCATTTTGGAATGATGAAGATATTAATCTGAATTGGTTTTGATGGACTGTAAGGTGCAAGCTCTTGAGAGTCGAAGTGGGCCAAACACCCCTGCTTCAGTTGCATTCAGTGGTAGTGGGGACACAGGAGTGCAGTCCCTGACCCAACTCACCTACATGTATGCTGACCTTCAGAAACAGGTGAGTCTTCTTTTGTTGTAATGTCACTTCCCCTGTACCCTTTCCTATTGTCCCATGTTTTTTTCCTTTCAGTAGATAAATCATCACAGGTTGCTATCCTGCATTTCATTGCTTTTTTGTATCTAGTCCAATCCTGCTAATATGAATCAGCTCTCTTCATGGTGCTAGTATTGCTTATCTACTATATAGTTCTTTGGGTGTTGTCTCTAGATTATAGCTTATCATTTCCTTAACCCCCGAAGTAGGAAGACTGCCTGTAGGAATTCAATCCTCCCCACTTAAGGTTAAGACTATGTTCCTTTGAGCAGAATACCTCCTTTATCCTTCACCTAGATCACCCATTTTCATTCATATCTGCAGTTTGATTTTGTTTTCTAAAATAGAAGATCCTCATCCAGCCTATAACTTGTAAACTGATCCATGTATCATTTTGGTATGATGCTATGAGGAAAAAATATATAAATAAATTATTTCAAGCCAGTAATATTTTTTAAAGCTTAATGGTGCTATCATTTGTTGTGAACTAGGTTCTAAATAGTTAGTCACAAACGGGAGTCATGGAAACAATCAAGAGAGAGATGACAAAGGCCAACTGATGCCTTGTTTGTCCCTTTTGCTTTTGCAAGTATAGGTTATTTTTATTATGTTATTTTTCAGTGTGATAGTCATGAGAACTTAGAAAAGATTAATTGTGAGCCTATACCAATGCATTGGCAACCATCAGTCTTGGCCACTGATATGGTGTCATTGCACCATCAGCTAGTTTTCTCTCAGCCAGTGCAAACTTGATAAAAGAAAAAGGAAGGAGGAACTTGTGTGTGTGTGTGTGAATGTAGCCTGGTGCCAGATTCCCTTGTCTCTTTTCATGGAAGAGGTATAGGCACTTCCAACCTCTTCCTAGAAAAAAATTGAAATAGTAAATGGTTAAATCACTTTCCTTTCAGAGCTGGGTCTAATAAGGGAATCTGGTGTGCTGCCACCATTTGTCTATTTAAAAAAAATGCTGGCTTTCACTGATTCTGGTCTCACAATTTTTACATCACATACAAGTGAAGTTTGACATTGAGTGAGATTCTCACTCATTGTCAAACTACCCTTGTAAATCAATAGAGAAATCTCTTATCAGCAACAGAAATCTGCATTGAATTGAGTGCTGGCATCAGGAATCCTCCCATGCTTTCACACTTTTTGAAGAATATGTAGTCCCTAATATCCATGATTTTCTGATGTATAGACACATTTTTGGTTTTCCTTCAGCAAATAATTATTTTACAAATGTGATTCAACCAGTCTCTATCACAGGACTGTCTGATGATGTCATTGGACATCTTGATACATTTTTTGTTTCTTTTCCAATAAAACTCACATGTTTCAGGTCCTCTTCTCATGCATAAAACAGAGCAGAGATGCAGTGTTCCCAATCTTTTATAAGCTGATGTAAAATAGTTGATAACACAATGCAGAATATTGGACAATTATTTGTTGACCCCCCTCCCACCATGTCACAATTGGCATTGGTTGATGTGTGTGAAATGCATTAGTGATGTATGAATCATCAAGCCAAATGTAATTTTCTGACTTGTGTATTGGGTATTCCAAGGTTCTGGTTGGGATGTCACTAGGCATTTATGCCCATATTGACAGCCCAAGGCCAGATTGCATCCTATTCATACTCTTCTTCCTTTTCTAATTTTGTCCATGAAGACATCTAACCTCATATTGAAACTATCCACAGAAGCCCACTATATAGGGTATGGTAAAAAAAACAATAAAAATAAAATAAGTGACTCCTATCTCCACTCAAATTGTAGCTATTTTTTGCAACTCTCAGGAAATTATGCATACACGAGTATGTTTTCAGCTGATTCTCAAAATTTCATCTGAATTTGCTGGATTGAAGCATTACCATCAACAAATATTGAAAAAAGTAAAATGTTGAGAATGGACAAGAGCTCCTGCTGGCAGTGGAGTAGAAGAAACACTTGAGCACTATCCTTCCTATTCATCAAGACTATGTCAAACTTCTCTTCCATTCAAATTCATTCTTTGGACTTTTGATGTTTTGGAAATAGATACAGACACAAAGTTATTGGTCATCTTTGTGATGTGCTCTAGTTCTGATTTTGTTGAGTTTAGATCTGTATCATTCTCTGTAAATGAAGGAACATTCTGAAAGAACTCTGAGAAAACTCTCTGGATTAATACTCACTGATTAATCTGTTATTCATTCGGAATAGGCTTATGTAAACCATCTGCTAGAAGTAACCAGTCCCAAAAACGAAATTAAATGGAAGAGGAGTTTTGCATGGTTCAGGAAGGACAGTCATTGGTCTTTTTTTTGCCATGCCCTATATATTTGCATTTTACATTCATTCATTATTCAGCTAGTAAAAAGGTAGTTCCACCACTTAAGCTATATTTGATGGTTTGTTATTAATATTAGTACATAACTGCAGTCTAGTGGAAAGAAAGCACACTACCACTAGCATTGTTTGTAATGCTTAGGGCTTGTGACCCCTTTTTTTTTCATCGCAAACCAAGAATGGATATTGCATTGATTAGGATTTCTGACTTGATGTAGAACTCTGAAAAAAAAAAAAGCCACCTGTTGGGGGAGGGATAAAAAATAACTGTTTGGCTCTACTGAATGTGTGGGTCACTGTCAACTTTTTCTTCTTCCTTAGCTTGCTCTGTTTTACTTGCTATATTGACCTGCTTTGTTGAGCCTCCTCACTTCATGCAATCTTGAAGGTAGACTGAGGCCATCTCAATCTGTAGGTGAAGCTAGGTCTCTTGTTATCCAATCCAATGGATTGATTTGTTGGCAGTCCTATTTATTTTGCAAATAGTGATAGGATTATTGACAACATAACGCTGTTTATCAACCAATTTTCATTGATCATTGGCATTTGATCAATTTTATTTCATAGGTGTCAGAGATGAAAGAGACCTTAGGTGGGCTGACATGTGAGAAACATCCTGTTCCAAATGCACATGGTTCAGGTGATGCTTCAATGTGTAGTCTTGAGAGGGTGGTCTCTAAGGCTATTCAAGCACCTTCACCTACTCCACCTGACAAGGATGAGAAGGTGAAAGTTACCCTCCCAAATGATGCTCTTATTCGTGCTCTTGTCATGGCCCAGCTGGAGCATCCATTGGAGACCCAGCCCCCATCACACCGTCCACCTCTCATTCATCGTCCCAAATCTCTCCCATTAGTCAGTGCTCCTTCCATCGTTCGCATCCAACGTACTCTCTCTTATGAGGCACAAAATCGTGTGCGCATCGTTGGGAAGTTTGCATCCCGTGTAGCAGCGTCAGTCGTTGCTGAATCTCTGAAGAATTTCAATGTGTCTGAGACATATAGGCATGAATGAGCCCACCAAAGTTCTGTCTTGTCACAACTTCTTTGTTTTTGTCTGATCTCCTTGCATTACCGTCCTTTTGATCAAAACTCGGTTCTGGGTCAGGTTCTCGTGATTCTTGATGTATTCTATAGCTGAAACTCAGCTCAACCATAAGCCTAGCCTAGAACATGTAAGTAATGCTGTAGGAATACTTGACAAGGGTAACAACTGGGAATTTTGATGCTTTCCCTCTATTCCTCACTTGTGATTCTTGGGAAGTTTTCTTTTGCTCAATTGACATACTGTAGTTTAGATGACTCTTGAGAATATTTTAAAAAAGAAAAAATGATCTCAATACTAGCCCAAAGGCATGTTTAGTGTAATTTCAGTTTTATTGTGAGTCTCCATTTCTAGTCCACATGAGAATCTCCTTCTCCACAAATGGTCGAGTACAAAGGAAGTTGTGTATAATCATAACTCGACATTTCACATTCATCATTAATGCAGGTATTCAGGAGTGGTGTTTGTTTTTTTTTGGTGATATGGACTTGTGATTTCAGTTTCCTATCCATATTTGAGAATAAATCAGCTGTTCCCCATCATTTTGAACTCAACTCCTTCTGCCTAGTGTTTAATAAGGAGCAAGAATGGGACATATATTGTTGGTCCTAGGGTGTATTACAACACCTGCTTCCACGTTTTAAGAATTGCAAAGAGCCTTCAAGATGTTCCATCTACATTGAGCCAATTAGTCTTAAGTGAAGTTAATTAGGCAATTCAAAATATATTTCAGCCAACTGTGATTCATTATGGTGCTGCACCTCTCCATCAGAGAAGTAATTCTTTCCCACATTTCATCATTGGAAACTCAGATTTTTCATTTTCTGAGGGATGTTTCTTCTGACATTCTAAGGTAGGGCAGCTGCTTCGAGCAAGGGCGATCTCTGCAGAAGAGCTGTGCCGAAAATGCTTAGAGCGTATCCAGCAAATCCAACATCTCAATGCATTTATCTCTATCCTTGGAGACTCTGCCTTGCAAGAAGCCCGTGAAGCAGATGCACGGATTCAAAGAGGTTCTATTCCTCATCTTAACCTATTCCATCCGTCTTATTGATAATATTCATTACATTCATACATGTTGAACAGGAAAGGCACTAGGGCCCCTGGATGGGATTCCAGTGGGTGTGAAGGACAACTTCTGTACCAAAGGAGTGCAAACAACATGTGCATCTCACATGTTGGAGAATTACATCCCTCCCTATGATGCAGCTATGGTGGAGCGCCTCAGGGCAGCTGGGGCCATTCTCATTGGCAAGACCAACATGGAAGAATTTGCCATGGGGTATAATTTGTTTTTTCTTTCATCTTATTCTGATGAAGAGGAAGATCTATTACTGCTATGCAGATGCAATATTATTTCATCATAACTGTACTTGAGGTCATTCACCAGGTTCTGTTGGAATTTTTTTTTACCCATTTCTGAACTGAATTTCACAAACATTTCATTTTGTGAGGAATTATTTTCTTCATTTACTAATTTCATGTCTGTAAATCTACTTCCTAGTGCATCAGGGATTGAGTCTATATTTGGTCCCATCAAGAATGTGTGGCGTTCAGGCCTGAAATATGGACTGTATCACCAACCCCTGTCAGTTCCTATGTCGTCCCATGCAGATGTGACTTTAAATGTGACTAATGTGAGACAGATGCATCAGGAAGTGATTGGTGAACTGGATCTGGACCATCTTGCAACACGAGGCCTGGATTCAGATTGGTTCATCAGTGGAGGAAGCTCAGGGGGAAGTGCTGTGGCAGTTGCTTCTGGTGCCATCTTCCTGTTAGCATTCACCCTTCTCAAATATTTCCAGTATTATACAACTCAGGCAAATGATGCCCCAACACATTTAATAAGCCTTTTAGTTCTTCAAATGCTTAAAAGTTGCCTCTGTGTGCAGTTTGCATATTTGCTGTTTTGTGACATGTTGATGAAGTAGGATTGCTTTGATTTGCTCAATTTATAAGAAGTTCACTTTCAGGGCTCAAGTATATCTGAATGGTCTTTTTCATTTTTGGCAGAGCATTGGGGTCAGACACTGGTGGATCCACACGCAATCCTGCTGCATACAATGGAATCATAGGGCTGAAACCCACTTATGGTCTCCTGTCTAGACATGGACTTGTTTCCCTTGTCAATTCATTAGATGTCCCAGGGATCATGACCAGATCAGCTGAGGATGCCCTCCTTGCCCTCAGTATGAATCTTTAGTTTCTTTATTTGTGAATTCATTTCATATCTGCTTTCTAGACTATCTGATCTGATAGAATTAACTATGTGGAGATGTTGTACCCTCTAACTAGCTGGTGAAGCAAGCATACTCTGAAAGCCTTTGATGCCAATTTATCCTTTCTTTTCTGTAAATATCAGAACTTTTGGAGTGAACCAAATGTCTTTTGACTGTGATGATGACTAGATGTGATGATTCTGTGAACTAAATCAGTGACTAAGAGATTTTGCTACACACAATTATAGAAATATGGGCACTTCTTCAAACATTGGCAGATGCCTTGGCTGGATGGGATGGAAGAGACTCAACAACACTCTATCGACCCTGGGTTTCTACCTCTCACAAATATTTGAAAGATTCTGATGTGCAGAAGCTTCGAGTGGGGATCCCAATAGAGTATCACTGCCCTGGAATGTCCAAGGATGTACTGCAGGCATGGTCTGATGTTGCTGATATTTTTGAACGGAATGGTACCCGCATACAAAAGGTCTGTTGATTGCTTGAATTGCACTTGGAATACAGGGTTGTGCAAAAGTTCCCATACACTTTGAAAATCTAATTTTTTTCACTAAGCAATGGATTTTTGGCGGTTTTGATGTGTTTATTTTTAATTCTATGGACTTTTTAAATACGAAATGATTTCATTATAGTAAATTTCAGTCTTTATTTGATTTTTTTTTCTCTGGAGCTGACACCTAAAGAGAATCGAAGCGCTCTCATCGCACTGCACAGGCAAAAGATGAAGGCTGGAGCAATCGCCAGATCTGAACTCGATGGTCTGGTCGATCTTGGAGCAAAAGATCTCGGGAACCCATTTTTCGCAACACTGAGGTGCTGAAGTGACGCGCTTGGAATGAAATCAACATCGAACAGCTGGCAACCATCATTTGCAACTTTCCAAAGCGACTCCGAGCATGCATCAAGGAGAACAACGCCAATTTTGAACACACGCTTAGAATTTGATTCATTTATCCTTTTTCATGCTGTTCTATGTACATAATTATTCAACTAACAAGCCAAGGTTAAGGTTTTATCAAAACTTTAACTTTATAAAAAAGAAAGAAGTGTAAGAGAAAGAGTAGAAAGTGTATGAGAACTTTTGCACAACCCTGTAGTTAAATGTTTGTTTATGTGAGTGAACAGATTTTTTCAGGTCTCCATGCCACACACGGCTTACTCGATCCCTTGTTATGTGGTGCTCAACACATGTGAGGTAGCAAGCAACTTTGCCAGATACGATGGGATTAGGTTTGGCCTGAGAACAGAGGTGACAACTTCCACAGAGGACCTGTATGCCTCCAATCGGAGTCACGGTTTTGGGAAAATTGTCAGGGGACGCATCCTTGCTGGGAACTTCTTCCTGCTGAAGAGGTCTGCAGTTCTCTTTCTAATTCCATGCATGCAATGGTTACCATTCTTCGATCTTTGTTTTCATTTAACCAGTCAATCTGTTTTCACTATGCTCCTTTAGATATTGTACTTAACAAACCTTTTTCCATTTTTATGCATTCCAATCATTCATGTAGTCATTTTGCTTAGGCCTTAACAAAAATAGGGCATGTTTCATTAGCATGAATCTTATCATAATTCCTAATGTGCATGCATTTTCATAACTTCGAATTCTGGATTGGGTGTACTATATTCCCCACAGAAACTATGAGAAGTACTTGGGTCGGGCATTTAAGGTTCGTCGTTTGATCAGCGATGACTTCAAACGAGTCTTTTCTGAGGTGGACGTTTTGGTGACCCCAGTGACACTCACAGATGCCCCAAAACATTCCGCCTTTATGCAATCCAATGAAGAAGAGTACAACGAGTACGATCACTGCACCATGCCTGCTAACATGGCCGGTGTGTCTCTTTTGCTTGCTCTTCCTTCTATCCTTGACATTATTTTGACTTGGTGACATTTTTGGCCTTGTCTATGTCAGGTCTTCCTGCTGTGACTGTCCCAACGGGTCTTTCGTCTCAGGGTCTTCCACTTTCAATCCAGTTGATCGGCCCAGCTCTTGGGGATGTTTCCCTGTTACATCTTGCATCTTGGTTGGAATACCAGCTCAACTGCCCCTCTCCTTTCTTCACTGACTCATAATGATGACTTCTTTCAAAATTTTGATCACCCTTTTCAGGCATGTAAAGCCAAAGTATTTGTTGGCATAGGAATTGAATAAAGTAAGTTATTTGCATCTTCAGTACAAGTAATTAATATAAAATTAATGAGAGATCAATTCGCTTCCTAGAAATCAAGATACTAATGTCCAAGTTCAATATCAGAAACCATAACTTTCTATTATATTTCTCATTGGCCTATGGATGGAAGAGCAGAAGAACTAAGTGTTCCTCATTTCCTTTATTTTATTAGAATTCAATTATCATTTAAGCATTAAGAAAGTATCAAGTATTTATGATGTTCCCGATATGGAACGAGCTGGTTAGTATTCCATTTTCAAAGGTTTCCCAATCGTGACCTTTTTGTAATTATAGCATCTCCTTGCATCCTTGCATGGAATAGGATTTTTGTGATTCTACGCATCAACATCAATATCTTTTTCGTCTAGAGACTACGTTAAATTGTTTCAGCTGCTAAAATCATAGTCACTGATGATGAGGATTTTGTTGCGTACTCCACGTGTCATGTACTCAAATTCCCATAGTATAGGTGGCTAGTTCTGCTGACTTGATAGCGGGCTTGGGACCATAGCTGTTGCCAGAGCCAAAATGAGAGGGAACAATGCCCCTCCTTGTTCCATTGCCTCTTCACCAAGCGGCCGCAAAGCTGACCTACCAGTGGTAGCTCTTTAGGGTAGGCTGTACCTACCCAGCTCAAGAGTAAAGTTCACAAATAGGTTCTTGTAAACCTCGTCTCTGATGAGGACAGCAAAAAAGATTTGTTTTTCTTCATAGTAACTTAAAAGCAGAATGGACTTTTGCTCTCTGAGTAGGCGCGATGCTGATTACCCATGTGGGCCAGCCCTGTATCCAAAGTAGGAAGAAGAGAGAAAGAGGCTTTGAAGTGACAGGGTGGACTTGCCTGCATAGCGCAGTAACTCATTGCACATCCACGGAAGGGCAAGAATTACTTGCTTCGGCACTCCAACCTCACGCTATTCTATTCCGTATGTCACACGAATTGGAGGCGTTGGCAGTTCGTTCTTGTTCATGCACAGATCTTTTTTTATCGGTATGACCGCAACGAGGACTTAATCCGAACAGGTCTCGATTTCTTCTAGATTCTTATTCCTCTCCCAATACAAGGTGGCCCAGAAGTAGATTTATGTGACGTTTTTATTTTTCTTCAAAAAATTTTTTTTCCAAGGTGCTAATTTGAACGACCAGAAATGCTTTTAATAGCGCTGCAACAACGATTTTTTGTGGTACAAGGCTGTGGGTGTGACCGGGGATTATGTAGGTTCGTTTGTACGCCCACGGCCACGAACTCGCGACCAGCTGCAGGAGTTCCTCGAGATTAAGTGTCATTTTCTAGACTAGCACATGTCTCCTGAAGCCTGGCGATCGGTGACCAGTCCTCTGCAAAAATGTAGCTATGTGAAGCAGTCTCAGTTCGAAAATTTGAACCTCCTTGACACGTTCGCCCATACAAACCTATTTCTCTCCACCCTCTATGCCAGTGAAAACGCAAGTTCAAACGGTCACGTATTGGCTTCATTTCAATGTTACACTCCGCCTACCCTGTTTTCTGAGTCACGAGCCGCCACTGTGTCCTACGTACTAGATGTTTAAACTCCTTTTCCCTTTATGCTTTTGTTTCCTTTCGTTTTTTCCTTGCATGAACCAGGGAAACCGCGCTGTCAATAATGAGACGCCTCACTACACATACTCATCGGGAAAAAAAGAGTCGAGCGATCTTCATGAAATTTGATACACAAGCTCATCCTAGCATACTATGAAATTGATTAGAATTTCACATTTTGGGATGAATATTAATGGAGAAATCTTTCCAATTATTCCAATTTCAGTAGCCACTATGATGTCATAGCAATCGTCCGAAACGATTAACTAGATGGTTTTTACTCATGAAACATGGTAGAAAAACTCCTAAAGATGTGCAGAAAAATCGAGAAAAGTTTCGAGATCGTGAGATGAAGCAATTCGGAGAAAGCTTGCTAAGTGCCTGAGGAATAGGGGTAGGTGGTGGCGCCATTGAAGGCGTTTCCTTTCTCTGCACCTCAAGCTGTTTAACTACAGGGCCGTTACTGAGAGTTTAAATGCTAGGCAGTGCCGAGATGAGATTTCTGGAGGCAATTTCAACAAGTTGTAATGATGTTTACCAAGCATCAACTTGGTGCATGCATCAGCCTGATGCATGAAACTAATACATGCGTCGCTATTACTCTCCATGGATAAAACGCCCTAACAAGTTGAAGTTGCCACCAGAGATCTAACCTTAGCACAGTTAAACTCTCACTCGCTGTTAAATTCTCAACAACAGCCTCGTGAAGCGACTCAAGGTGCAGAGAAAAGGATTACTTTCGGCTTCAATGGTGCTGCCCTCTTCCCCAATTCCTCCGGCATTGAGCAAGTATTCCCTGTATAGCTTCATCTCACGATCTCGAAGCTTTGTTCGATTTTTCTGCACATTTTTAAGAGTTTCCTACCACGTTTTATCAGTAAAAACCATCAAGGTAACCTTTTCGAGCGATTAGTATGGACCCCATAGCCACTATTGAAATTTATTAATAATTAATTGGCAAGTTTTCTCCATTAATATTTATCCCACACACTTGAAATTCTAATAAATTTCGTAGTATGCTAGTAGGAGCTTATGTATCAAACTTCCTAAAGATCGCTCAACTCCTTCTTGGTCGTGCTTTTTTGGCGATGATGATGTATATTTGAAACTTATTACGCTTAACATGAACATGATCTCGACAGAAAAGCATAACTATTGACAGACGCACCAAGTTTCTTGAGGGTTTGCGGCAAAGAACGAAATGAAACAAAAGCATAAAGGGAAAAGGAGTTTAAACATCTAGTACGTAGGACACAGTGGCGGCTCGTGACTCAGAAAACAGGGTA